AAAAAAACCCACAAAAAAAAAAAAAAAAAAAAAAAAAAAAAAAAAAAAAAAAACCCTGAACTAATGGGACCAATCTAACACCTCCCTTCACAAACCCTGGGCTCGGAGGATGGCCTAAGGGCCCAAGCCTGCCCCACTCACCTGTAAAGCCCTGAAGTTGGAGGCATCATCCATGCCATTCACTTGGGACACTGCCCCGTTCAGATAGGTATAGCTACTTGCATCCTGCTCAAGCTTCAGGGCCTCTGGGAGGGTGAATATAGAGGAAAAGAGCTGGCGCGTGCTGTCCAGAATACAGCAGCCTGACACCTCATGACCTGTGCCCTGGGTCATGTTTTAGGTTCCTCTCTTGTCTCCTCTGGATGGGGTTAATATATTTCCATGATAGTAAACTACCTTTCAAGTGGTTTTTAGGGCTTGGGTATTCATACCTGTTAGAGAGTTTCATAGGAGTTTCACTGATTTTTACCCCACCACCGGGGCTTTAAACAATGGAAATAACCAAGCAAAACCCTCTCTCCCACTCAGGCAGGAAGGTGGGGGAAGCGAGGAAAACACCCATCTACCCAGTCCCAAGTCCCTGTGCAGTGCCAGCTCATCCAGCATTTGTTCTCTGTCCCTGACGCTGCCTCTGGAAGGTTCTCTCCAATGCTGACAGCCGAGCTGAACGGCTTTCTCACATTCCCCTGAGGTAAATGAGTGTCTCTCCCAGCCCACATCATGAGAGCTAGGTTTTGATTTTTTTTTTCCTATCTTCCCCAAAAGTGAGTAATTTGCATGTCGGGACTGCTTTTCATCTCCAGATTATGTGTACCTGGTTGGTAAATGGAATTTTTTTTTCATTTTAGTAAATGAACCAAGGAAATGTCCCAAGTTGTCTACCTAAGATAGGAGGATTGGGCTGATCATAGACTAGAGGCATGTCAATTATATTTTATGCAAATGATCTGAGATTCAGGGTAGTGAACATCAGGCTGGATTTTAGTGGCAGCTCCCACTGTCACACAGGTTCTGAAACAGGAGCTTACTAAAGAAGGGAAGCTAGAGAGAGAATGAGTCAGAAAACTTGGGAATAATGACACCAGGGAGATTCACCCAGACTCAACTTAAACTAACAGGTATGGAACCAGCCGGAATAAAACACAGTGTCTGTGAGTCATACAAATTGAACATCATTAAGGCCATTAAGTCAAGAAGGGGGAGGACAAAACCTATGGAGTCTCCCGCACCACAGAGATTTCAAGCAGCAGAAAAAAGCTATGCAAAAATCAAGCACTGAATAACAAGGACTCAAAGCGAGGGCTCCTTAGGGGCTAGGAATCCGTAGTCTCACAGCTAGAGGGGAGGCTGAGAGACACAAGTCCCCCTGGTCCCTCAGTGATGCTCATCAGGAGCCACCTCTGGCCAGTCCAGTTTTCAGGCTGTTGTGGACTCTTCCCCAGGGCAGGCAAGGAGATTCATGCCGTCCACTCCTATAGCTATCTGCACAGACTGGAACCAACCATACTTCACTGCAGGGTATCTGCCCCACACCTGCCATTCCTACGAGACTGAACTCTTTGATGACCTCTTTGATGACAGGGTCCGTCATCCTCAGCTCTATCACTAAACCCCACCATAGTGACGATCAGGTGTTCAGGTGGTGCTAGATGATGGATGAATGAAGGAAACCTCTAAAAGCTAAAAAAAAAAAAAAAAAAAAAAAAAAACCAGGGAAGACTACTGTGTGGTGGTGGTGTATGCCTCTAATCCCTCAGGAGACACAGGCAGGCAGATCTCTGTGAGTTCGAGGCCAGCCTGCTCTACAGAAGGAGTTTCACGACAGCCAGGACTACACAGAGAAGCCCTGTCTCGAAAAAAATAAATAAATAAATAAATAAAACAAACAAAACCAAAAAGAAAAAAGAGACCCTGGGAAGCTCCTAGGTGAGGTGGGTGTCTAAGCCCAGGAGCTGTCACTAAAGCTCCTGGGAGCTCTTAACACTCGCATATCCTGCTGCTTCTGTGTGACTGCCAACAGAACCACGCAGGGCGCAGGGCGCAAGGCACAAGGAAGAGGGCAGCGCTGAGACAGCGAAGACACAGCTCTGGGAATCCGTCCCGCAAAGGAAGAGAACAGAGCCAGGAGTCATAGGCTCCCGGTGGAAATGCAGGCAAGGAGAAATGGGGAGGGGGCTTGAGAGGAGGGAGGAAGAGAGACCTAGAGTTCTGAAGATAGGACAAGGTTGGGGTGCTTTGCCCTGCGTCCAGGAAGAACACGTACTTAGCAACTGTGGGTCTGCTCCAGCCAGCAGCTGGTAGAAGATGTGGAAGTTCCTTTCTCCTTTGAGCTGCTTCACTACTCGGGATTTCTCCAGCAGATCTGGGAGAGAGTGAGGAAACACCCTCCTGAGAGTCCAGGAGACAGCACAACACAGCCCTTGGATTCTGCCCTGAGCTCCAGTGGTTCCCAAAGGGTGGGGAGTTTCCTGCCATCTAATAGTCATTCTGCCTGAAGAAGCAGATGGCCAAAGGGAGACAGAGTTGGCAGGTGGGAGAGTGTTGGTGAGGCACGGGGAGGGTGACACATACAGTTGGTGATGACACCGCCAAGGGGGGATCCTTTGAAGTCAAACTCAATATCCATGTATTTTCCCTTCAGAGAGAGACCAGAGAAAGCCTTGGATCTCCTTCTTGTCTCACCACCTGTGGGGAGGGGTCTGTGCTGCCCCGCTCACCCTCCACAGCACCCCCTTCCTTCTGGGCAGATGCGGTCACTTACAAATCGAGAGGAGTTGTCATTGCGGATGGTCTTGGCATTGCCAAATGCTGTAGAAACAAAGGGCGGGAAAATGAGAGGGTTGCAGCTCCAAGCAAGCTAGACTCCAGAGGAGTGAAGCCTGTGGGACACTCCCTCCAAGCTACCAACCAATCACGTGGGTTTTTTTCAGTGATTTTGGAAGACCTTCTAGGGCAGAGGACTGGGAAGGGGTGCAGAGACTGGGGGTTAGACAGACTGGGACCCAGGGTGCTCACCCTCCAGCACTGGGTTTGACTGCAGTAGCTGCTCCTTCACAACGTTCACCTCATCTCCTTTTCCACAGACGGCAGCCACGTAGGACATAACCAGCTTACTCGCCTCTGTGTACAAGACGCGCTGAGTCCCCAGCCAGGGCATACCCACTCCCACACCCTTCAGTACCATAGAGTTCCTGGTCAGGGAATTCCCACTTCCATCTCCCGAACTCTGACTCCTCACACCACAGCAATAGGAGAGATGCCTCAATGGTTAGGATCACTTGCTCTTTTTTTTTTTTTCCTATCTGGGTAACCTTGGCTGTCCTGGAACTCACTCTGTAGACCAGGCTAGCCTCAAACTCACAGAGATCTGCCTGCCTCTGCCTCCTGAGTGCTGAGATTAAAGGTGTGTGCCAACACCACCTAGCTACTTGCTTCTCTTGTAGAAAACCTAGGTTGAGTTCTCAGCACCCACATTAGGTGACTCAAAACCACCTAGACTCCAGTTCCTGAGGATCTGACACCCTCTTCTGGATTCCTCAGGCACCTGCATGTATGTAGTGCAATATATATATATATATATATATATATATTCAGGCATACAGATAAAATAAATCTCTAAAAAAGAAAGAAACAAAAACTAAAGAGGAAGTAAATAGGGGATTGAACACAGCAACAGGCCTGCTTGGAGGGAAAAGGAGACGATTCCAGACACGATTCCCCGGTTCCTCCTCACCTGTCTTCCCAGCTCCACTCTCGCCTGTGATGAGGATACACTGGTCCAGGTCCCGGTCCTTCAGTGACTGGTAGGCCATATTGGCCAAAGCATAGCTTGCAGGAAGGAAGAAGAGAGCAGCCAGTGTGAGGCCAGACCAAGAGAGCATCTTTCCACCCACAGCACTCGGTTCATCCACCCTCCTCTGTGGGTGAGATTAGGCCACAATGGCAGGCCTAGGGAGGACTCTTAGGGAAGGAAGGATGCTGGAGAGCCTTCTTCAGGGGAAAGGGTGGGGAATCAGGATGCTTCACAGACATCAGGCTAGAGCTCTGTCGGCTTTGCTCAGGTCCCCTTACTCACATGTGGGGTTTCAGCTCATAGAAAGTGTAGTCCCGGTATTTGGCAATGAACTCTGGGCCATAAATGGGAAGCGACTGGTAGGGATTCACTGAGATCACCACACTCCCAATGTAGGTCTGGGGTCAGGAGGGGCGGAAGCAGATGAGCATGGCTGGAGGAAAACTGGGACCCATTGGGCACCCCACCATCTGGCACCCATGGTGAGCTCACATAAATCTCCTTTTCTTCATAACGGAGCCGGAGGTTCTTGATCAGAGAATCCTCATCCAGGGGTTCCAGGAGGACAAGGTCCTCCACCCCCACTTGGCCTTCCAGGAGAGACATGTCAAGAGGGTTGAGATCCTAGGCACAAAGATAGTAAATTGCAGCTGCTTGCTCAGCTTAAGGGCTAAGTCATGGTGGGAGGAGAAGAGTGCAGAAGAGCCTACCAGAGCCCTCTTTTTTCCTCCTGCAGGAGAGCCCTCTAGTCAAAAGGGCCTCTGGACCAACCTGGCCAGTCAGGGAGGTGGAAGGACCTTCTGACCACTGAGTATGAGTGAGATGGCCGTTAGGTAGGCCCATGTTTGCCCACCCACCTGGGGAAGGGTGGTATCAGTAGGCAGTAGATAGGGAAGAGGGCTGAAGGAAGTGTGAGCCAAGCTTTGTTCCTCAGCCAGGTGCTGGAAAGGCCCTCCCTCTTCAGGGCGTACTCCCTGGCTGCCTGCCCAGCGCTTGTACTCAACCCAACCCCCGCTTCAGTCACCTAATCCCTCCACAATGCCTGTGTCCAGAGGTCTCTTCTTCCTGTCGTAACCACAGTGAAGTTCATGTTTAGATGATGTTGGACAAGGTGAGGAGTTCAAGAATATGGACAGTTCTCCACAAAACATCGGAACTCCCCATAGAACATGGAAGCCAGTTTGTTTCCCCAGCTGTCAGGTCTGTCTAGCTGTCCCTCCTGCTCTGTCTTTAATTGTAAAATCTTCAGATTGTATACCCATTCCTATCATCTTCTGTGTGACCTTTGCTTGAAGGCACACCCCATTCTTTAGTAGCTGGTAGGAGTGGGCAGGGAGGGGTGCTCAGAGAGGGCTGTGGGCTGGGCCGCATGCAGCAGGCATATGGCAGGTGCTTCTATAGGAAGAAACCAGCCCTCTTCAGGTAGACTGAGTAGGCGGGGTGGTGGAATTAGTACAATGGTCGGTGCCCCTCCCAAGCAGGAACAGAATACATTCCCCTGCTCTCCTGCTTCTCTGAACCTAGAGGAAGAGCAAGAATGGCAGATGGGGCAAGGAAGGGACCCAGCCTTCTTTCCCCTCCATTCTGTTTTCCCCAAGCTCCAACAACTTCCTAAATACCTAGACTGCAATGTGAATACTGATACCAGCAGCCTCTGGGAAACCTGCAGCATTTTCACAGGCCAGGCGGGGGTTCCAAACACTGGAACTTGACAGTTACAATAGCCTGTGAAGCCGATACTCTAATTATCCCTTATATTTCAGATTCAATCTCAGTAGCCATGTCTTATGTAGCCACAATATTCAAGATGCCAAGGCAGGAGGACAGCCGTAAGTTGAGGCCAACCTGAGCTACACAGAATTCCAGACCAGCCTGGAAGTGCAAAGATCTAGTCTCGACTCACACAGAGACAGACAGACACACAGAGACAGACAGACACACACACACACGAGAGACAGAGACACACACAAGAGACAGAGACAGACACACACACGAGAGAGGGGGAGAGAGAGAAGGGAGAGGAGAGAGAGAGAGAGAGAGAGAGAGAGAGAGAGAGAGAGAGAGAGAGCGCACATCTTTGAAACCGCTTGGCAGGAAAGGGTGTGAAGCACGATAGAGAACACATCTTTGAGTTGGTACTGAGAGAAGTTAACAAAATGTCTATTTGGTGGTGAGAAAGGAGAAAGAAACAGATCCCAGAAGTGGCATCCCAAGGTGACACAGGTCAAGGCAGGACTCACCTAACACCGGAACAAGGATATAATTTGATGCTCCTTGGAGAATGGGGGTGTGGAGTCCCAGTCTGACGGAAGGGGATGAGCCAGCCACAGATGGGAAGTGTGAAGAGGTGTCTTAGTTAGCAGGAGCTGTCCATGGTGTCAGGGAAGCCAGGTGTCCCCCGTCCGTCCTTCCTCTGTGCTGCCTCCTTCAGTCTCCTGGTGCCGCTCAGGCCAGAAGAGGCCAGAGAGAAGGCTGCTCAGCACAAAGTCCAGGGCTGTTTCTGATGAGGGTGTGGCTCCCTTAACCCTTCACAAGCCCGTGATGCCCAGCCTCCGTGTATTTAGGCAGAAGTTATCTGTCTTTTGCTGAGGGGCTCTAATAATCATGTTCCATGATTCCAAGAATTTGGAAATAAGAGCAAAAGAAACAATTTGTAGCCAAGGAAAAGATTTTCCAAGAAAGGGTTGGGAATTTTGCCATGGATGGCAGCTGGCTGGGGGTGGGGGTCTTCCTAGTAGAGAAACAATATCTCCCTTAAAGCCACCTTTTCTGTCTTCCTGGGAGCCCTAAAACTCTCAGATCGCCTGGAGGGCCAAGTAGCAAAATTCTAAATCCTGTCCACTTCTCTTTCCCTGAGTGAGACCTCATTATAGATACCCACAGATAGTCAGAGCTGTGGCTCCTTACATTTCATGGACCTAACACCCACATCATGCGTAGCCCCACCCTGTGAGGCAGGCAATATAGATGCTTCCTTCCATGGGAAAATAGAGGCACTGTGGTTACATATGACACCTGTGCCCCAGTTCCACAGCTAGGAACATCAGGAACCAGGAACAGCACACACTTCTCAATCTTGTCTACAGAAGGTTGCAGCCTAAGTTCTGAGGTTTCTACTGTAATCATTTCTCAGCAGTAGAATGCCAAATAAGACCCCGAGATGCTGTTTCCTGGGCATTAGTCCAGCAGAAAATGGCTCCCCAGACAGGTAAAAGCTTCTAAAATCCAATTTCCCAACATGCCTTCACCCACCCAGGAAAATTCCTAAACAGCATGCCCTTCTGCCTGCTCTCTTCTCTCAGATACACGCAGGAAGAGAAAATTAGGTAATTGTACCACTTAACTAACGTGGAGACTATTTCCCAACTCTCAGCTTTTGCTGCTTGGTCCAAGGTCCGAGCTATATTGCTCCAGCAGAAGCACTCTGCATAAGCTTGATCCATCAGCAGTTCCACTTCCAACCTGCTCTTACATAATTTATTGATTTACTACATCTATTTGAAGGGAGGACAGCAAGGCAAAGAGAAAGCTGAGCAAAAGTGGTTATCAAAACATATTCCCTTATTACGGGGGGTGGGGCAGTGTCATTGTGTCAGAGCCAGAGTGACTACTGATCCCACTTTCTGGTGAAGAACCAGACCTAGAGTAAGAAACTTTCCCAGACCCACACCACTGCCAATCTCCACAGCTGGCACTAGAACCTGGGTCTTTTGCTCCCAGGGCTAGTCTGTAGTTGCTTGGGGCTTGCTTCCTCTTCTCACTCACTCATGTGCCTACTGCATGCTTTAAAACAAGATGGCACTTTGGTTTCAAAACAATAAATTTCAGCTCCTGCTGCCAACCATGCTGACCTGCCTGGGACCCGGCCCCCAGTGGGCTCCTATATACCTGGAGGTGTAAATCTCCATCTGTGGCTGGGCATTGTACCACTTTTAATCCCAGCACTGGGAAGGCAGAGGCAGGCCAGTGCCACATCCTTCACCCTACATTAAAAACTAGGGAAGAGCTGGGGGGAATGTAGAACACACACACCCAAGTCAGCTGGAATTTGGACGTCCACCATCCTGAACTAGGGCAGGTTGGTACAGCACTGTCATCTGCTTTCCAGACACCAAACTAACCCCTAATCACCTTCCGTTGTCCCTATCTACACTGGGATAAAGTATGGCTCAGTGGTAGCCTATGGCTAGTGGAGTCCCTGAGTATGAGCCACCCTGAAAAAGTGAACAAGCTTGTACTCCATACAATGGGTGTAAAGGAATTCGGTGGGATGTAGGAATGAGTATACAAATGACTCTGCCAGACTCAGCACAACCATACAGGAAACACAGGGATTTTACTGTCTATGTAGCTTACATTGTGACAGCTGACACTCATCTGATCACACTGATTCAAGCCTCCCAGCCAATTATTTTCTTTTCTTTCCAAGAGTTTCTCTTTAGCTTTGGAGCCTATGAACTTCCTCTGTAGACCAGGCTGGTCTCAAACTCAGGAGATCTGCCTGTCTCTGCCTCCCAAGTGCTGGGATTAAAGGCATGCGATGCTACCACCTGGCTAAAGTAACTTTTTAAAATTTGCTGGCAGTGGTGGCTTATGCCCTCCGTGGGGCTGACAGGGAAAATAGGGAGTTCAAGGCCAACCTGGGCCTCATAAGACAGTCTCAACTCCACCACCGCCACCCTCGCCCTGCTCCAAAATAGTAAAACCAATGCTCAGGACAGAGAGGTCTGGTTACAAAAAAGGGAAATACATAATATGAGACTGATGTACTAACTGTCAATTATCTGAAAGTATAAGATGCACACAAAAATGTTCATTAAGAGACTCAGTGGGCAAGAAAACTTGCCGCTGTGCCTGCTGACCTTAGTTTCATCCCTGGAACACACATGGTGGGAAGAGAGACAGAGTCATACAAGTTATCCTCTGATGTTCACACGTGTGTCCAACATGAGCACACTCACATACACTTTTATATACACACACACAAACCAAATATTGAAGCATTTTAATTTAAAAAGACAATACAGCATACAAAACTTTATTAAAATTGTGACTATTTACAAGCCATATAATAATAATAATAAAAAAATACACAGCATCACTTTTTCTTACAGAAAGGTAAGGGAATGGCAAATAGCCATCTCTGATAATTTTGTTCTTCCTGAATATCCATTGACATTTACTAAGTACAAATGACAAATATGTTATCTAAATTAACACTAAGGCATCACCCACAGGCTAAAACTCATCTAGTAGTTTCTTGGCCTTGTTATTTCAGTATCAATTCCAGAGACATGGAAAGTATGGCCACTGTGGGCTTGAACAGGCGCTGAGGTCCACACTGGGGCAATCTGTCACACAGCAATGTTCATGCTGCCCAAAGTTCAAGGCAACTGCTTTCACCATTTTCAAGTTATCAAGAGTATAAAAGGAAACTGGACTTGGTGGCTCATGCCTGTAATCTCAGCAATCAGAGACTGAGGCAGGGTTGTCCTGAGCTCCAGGCTACATACAGAGGGGCACACCCAGTCTAAACAATAAAGCGTGTCAAACAAAAATGACATGCAGCACATGTCTGGGTCTATGTGATCACTCCTGACCCTGCTGAGGCAATGGGGCTAACACTGGTGTTTGCATGCTTTGTTTATCCACAGTGGGTTCGTGGTCCTGCCATCTAAGGCACTAAAACTTTCTATTTTGAGATGGGGGTCTCCTTTGCTGCCCCTACCAATTTAAAATGTCCAGACTCAAGTGATCCTCTCACCTCAGCCTTCCAAGTTCAGGTATACACACACACACACACACACACACACACACACACACATCACTACAACCGACTTTCGAACCACCTCTTCAAAATAGTAGCCATCTGGACCCCAACAGCAACAGAAGATACCACTGGGTTACCACAATTGCATAAGCTCTCCCAAAAGAAATCATTTCTGCTACATGCAAGACTTAGGCAAGGGCTGGAGAGATGGCTCAGCAGTTAAGAGCACTGACTATTCTTCCTGAGGTCCTGAATTCTATTCCCAGCAACCACATGGTGGCTCAAAAACCATCTGTAATGAGATCTGGCACCCTCTTCTGGCATACAGGGAGGCAGACTGTTGTATACATAATAAAAGAAAAATCTTAAAAAAAAAAAAAAGACTTAGGCAAACTTGTCATATGCAACAGATACTTTGTTTATCCCTTGCTCTCACAGCCTAACTAACCTGAGACCAGTAAATCTGCCCCACTGTCCTTCCCTGTGTTCAGATAAAATTCTTCATTCAAATACAGACAATCATCTCAAATGCTAGACCTGAGTCCAAAGGAATACCGGAAGAGGACACAATTTTCTGTCCTCCTACTTCAACTGTTACTATTCAATTCTGACAAGTTATAAGGACACAGCTAGGGACAGCACTATAGCACAGTCATCCATCTCAGCTCATCTTTTTTTTCTGGAACAAAAGATTGAGGTCAATTACATAACCCATTCCCAATCCCTTCATGAGTATCAAGGTCTAGGGGGATTCCCTGGCCTATTTGGGTCCTTTCATTCATCAAACCTCCATCACCTATGCCAAGAAGGGTGGCTAGAGAGAACGCAATTGATTAATAAAGGGATGTGCCCTAGGATAGGATATAATATGGTAAGACAGAACAGTGGAACCCAAGGAGCCATCACCAGAAAAATAACCACTGTTGATATAACAAGGATGTTACATTTCAAAGTAACAAAGTTATCAATGTTGCTCAATTTTTCTCGGCTTTGGTCATTATGTTCTGAGCAAAGGGGTACTGTAAAGTCTTATGCCAACTGCCTCTTGTGTTCCCATTAATGGGAGCCATGTTCTATAAACTCAGGTCAGACTGATTAGAAGCAATAGATTTCCAATAATGAGACCCTGAGTCCAGGAATTAACTATGGTTTGATAGCTGCTGAGCAAAGACGCTGACATGGCAGCAGACGTGTCTCCAGTGTCCAGCTCACCCCAGTCCTTCCTTCAATCCCTGATGAGATCAGTCTGAACAATGAGGCTGAGATCCATCGAGCAGCCTCTGGGCATGCAGAGGCTCAGAAGCATCCAGACAGACACACAGGCAGGCAGGGCAAGGATAAACAGCACACAGCAGCAGCACCGTCCCTCACTGTCTGAGAACAGCTCCCACACCACTCAGTTCCACAGGCAGGGAAAGAAAAAGAGCTTTAAATACAGGTAAAAAACACATGGCCTTGAAATGAAATCCGTATTTCACAGGGAGCTCATCACACAGAACAAAGTCATTCACAGTGATTTTTCATGAAAATAAACATCTAAGTCAGCCCTCCCCTTTAGCAAGCTGCCATTCACAGGGAGTGATATAGGAAAAGGCACCAAGGGCTCCCAGGACTGAACGCCATCTGTACAGAAGGGTACCAATTTCTACAAAGGAGGTTCCAAAATAGTGTGTTTTGGAAGGCTTTTGTTGCTACTGGTGGGGTTTTTTGTGATGCCAGGAACTGTTTTTTGTGATGCCAGGAACTGAATACCAGCTTTGTGCCTGCCAGACAAGCACGTCCTGCTTCTGAGCTTCATCTCTGCCTTTTCCGAAGCTTAGGGACAGACTTTTACCGTATTTGTAATTCACAAAGACATCTTGTACTCGATCGCTTGAACCCGTGGCACCTGCTCACAAATGCTAGCTTTCAGTTTCTCCTGCTTCACTTCTACCAGTTGAAGTAGTTGTCACTTTAGGACAATTTAAGGCTATGGGGAGCACTGGTTGAAAGAACTCACTGGCCACTCTGCCGGCATTTTGGATGCCAGCAATAGAGCCTAGGGTCTTCCAGAATTAGATGCTAACAGCAGGTCTGAAGACACCATCTTCCTCTTGACGATCCTAAGACAACGAGTCTGATGATATCTACCCGAGTGAGCACCCACCTTCCTGGCTGAAGGAATCACAAAAGCTACACACTTCTTCCAATGTGATGGTGAAGATCACAATGAAAGAACCAAGCAAACGGCAGAAACTTGGGAGTCTGCTCCCTCCTAAGTGATACCGCCAGCTTCTGAGGGTACCTTCAATGGCTAGGGATTCTGAAGCTGAGGTCACTAAACTAAGGAAAGAGGCAGCATCTCCGTCAGAATGGAACTGGGGTGTGTGTGATGCTGACAGCTGAATGAGTGTCAAAGGCAGGAAGATCACCTTACGGTCTTTATCTGCCAAGCAAAGTTGTGGCAGCTACATAACTAAAACTGTATATAAAGAAACTTAATAGATGGTTTCAGGAATTGCAAATTACCAGATCTGGAACCAGATCAGGTGGTGAGAAGGCTAAATGAACAGAATGGGTATATAATAGAAGACAGGGACAAGGAGATAAGATTGGTTTTGTTGTGATGCTGAAGTTCTACCAGGGCCTTGCATGCTGAGTCAATAAGTGCTCTACCACTGAGCTACATCTCCAGCCCTGGAATAGTATCTTGATTGAGTAGTAACTTAAAGATATGTGATCAGATAGGGGAAAAGAAGTAAACAAGACTTCTCTTCCTAGCTATAGGAACCAAGCTATAAAAAGGATATATAAAATCAAGACAAGAAGTTTGGCATAACAGGTGTGGTGGCACACACCTTTGATCCTTTGAGGCAGAGGCAGGCAGATCTCTGTGAGTTCAAGGCCAGCCTGGTCTACAGAGTGAGTTCCAGGACAGCCAGGGATAACAGAGAAAAAAAGCTTGGCATGGCAGCATAGACTTAAGATCCTAGCACTGAAGGCTGAGGTAAAAGGACTGAGAGTTTAAGACCAGCTGAGTCACACAGCAAGACCCTGAACAAGAAAGAAAATCTATAAACGAAATGGTCAGAAGCAGAGGGAACTCCGTATTAGGAAGGGAAAGGGAGGGAGTGGAGAACAAAAAATGAGACAAATCCTGAACTGTCCACAGTCCACAGGGAAGGGGACAGACCCTGCCTGGGCAGAAAAGGGAGTGGTGAGAAAAAGCAAGAGAAAATCGCAAAGGGCAAACAGAATAAAAAGCTTAGGAAATCAAACCTACAGAAGGGCCAGTAGACGGTTTTCTAAATGTAAGTAAAACTCAGAATATCAGTTTCTGAGAATTCAAGGTTCAATACAAGCAGTTCCAGGGACTTTCATGGATATCTATACCAATAAATATCTGGGGTCGATAGCGTTTGTCACTCTGGAGCACTTATTGGTTCTAATACATAAATTTGCTGCATTAAAAAATGTTTAAAAAACAGGATGGACAACCATCTATCTTTCCTTCAAGAGTTGAATCGAGGATTAGTCTAATGGCCTACTGGAGTATAAGCCGACAGAAGTCAAACTGGCTCAGATTTGTACATTTCTCTTTAGAAGGTGCAGCCTATGATCTGAATGCACTACTGCACTTAGTCCTCATTTCTGTGGGCTTGTCAGAGTCAGAAATGCCATCATTCAGTGAACTTTCAAACAGGACCTAGAATATCATGCTGGCTGTGGACAACCAGTTTCTTTAGGAACAGCAAGTGGACCAATAGCTCGGTTGTCAGAGGCAAGCTACCACAGCACTCGCTTCTTCCTCCACTCTTTGCTCAGGGGTCCTGTGGAGAACCTCTCACTTCAGCAGGAGAGCTTCTGCACCCTCTTCAGGCCGTTATGTAAGCCCAAGAGACCGCACAGCATTTGCACATGGACCGCCAAGGCACCACACTGTCTATGTGAAAATAACGGGTTCCCCCATCTAAGTCAGGAAGCTGTTCTGGGCGACAGTGGGGTACTCTGAGCCCTCCTCCTCTGAGGACAGCTCCTCATCCTGGGCAATTATGCTCCCTAATCCATACTCCTGCTCATGAACAGAAACTTCATTTGGTGTGAGGTGAAAAGAACCTTCCACAAAGTCAGCGAATCTGCAAAAGAGAAGGTTGCTCATTAGGAAGCTGCTTATCCTTCCCGGATGGCTCTCAAAATAAGAACAGACTGAACAGCCCAGGATGCTTGCAGTCTAACTGAAATTCCTGTCCTTGCTTTGGCAGACATATAGACTGGAGAATAGGCAGGAAACAAGGCTGGGCTCATAGGCCAGCATGGGTACTCTCACCCTGCTTGTCGGTGGCCACCCTATCCCTTTTAGTTACGGAGTGCTAAGGTTCCCTGAGTCATCATATTCCTGATAAGGGACTGGGGCATTATAGTTCTTTGCATTTATGGCCCTATAAACTTTATGCTATCATGAATCCAAAATAAACTTCACATACTCTCTGGTACAACCACTGCCAACCAAAGGAACCTGGGGGCAACTCAAGACAGCCAGGGTTACATAGACCGTCTCAAAAACATCAAATATAAAAAATAAGTGCAACATCTATGTCAAACTTACAAGAGCCACACTTACATATGATACTGAAGTCTTCGCATGCTAACGCTATAATCAAAATAAGGAGGTAGCTGCCTTGGGGAAACAAGAAATAGATTACTAATAATACATAATGACGCAGATAACTTTCTCTTCACTACTCCTAGGTTAGCATAATCAAAGGGCAAACTATAACAGTTATCTAAAAGTATGATCTCTGTTAGAACTCAAGGTCATCCACTACCCATAAATACTTGGCTTATCAGGCTAAGAGCTTACCTTTTTGGAGACTGAATCCGAGATATAGTCTTCCAGGCAGAACACTCTGGACTATTACAAAACTCTCGGAGTTCCTGTAGAGCCCTTTGGGTCTCCACCTCTCCTTGTATCCGATACTCCTCTTCTGTCAGGAGGCGAGGGGGGACGGGCTTTGCTGTTGCCTTACACATCTTTCTGTGCTCATCAAAATAACATCATGAATCATTAACCAGTAATCCACATCCATCCTCACCTCCACTGTTTCAGGAGACCAAGCACACACCTACAGACTAAATGTGGAGAGACATCAGCCCACCTCCCTTCCGTATATACATCCTTCACCAGTGAACTCCTGACAACCCAACTACGCGTGAAGAATCAGAGTACTCAAACTCACTTATTTTCCAATAAATGACAAACAAAATATTTATTTCCCACAAAGTGGAAAAACGACAACAAAATGATGTTATAAGGTGGTCATACACTCAGTTCCTGAAACTGAAGGCTCCACTTTGATCATCTCTATTGGAACAGTCACTGACAACCTCAGAATCAAGAATCACTCCATATTTCCTTTTGCAAGGATAGCATGCCATAATTACATTTAAAACAAGATTAGGATTTTTGGAGCAATCTGGCAGTCAGTGTGAAATGATCTGAAACCTGAACCTGAGGCATAGGGCTTTAAAAAAAAAAAAAAAAGAAGCTATAATTTGCACCACCTAGTGGTAACAGGAACACATGACACTTTACTGGATGCTTTTATTTGGGAGGGAGGGAGGGAGGGAGGGAGGGAGGGAGGGAGAGAGGGAGAGAGGGAGAGAGGGAGAGAGGGAGAGAGGGAGAGAGGGAGGGAGGACAGACGAATAGACTAAGAACGAAGAAGGGGGAAACATAGCAGTGACTTCTCACTTACAAAGGTTCCCAAGGAAAAACTATATCCTTTTGCTGCAAAGTGTTATCCCACACCTCACACGTCAATACAAAGTTCCACTGCCTTCCAGTCACCTGTAGGTGGTGTACAGCCAATGAACAGGGTACTCCAGGTTCTTAGTGCACAGGGCAATGATAATAAGGGCAAAAGCAACGTGTGGTATCTGAATGCTGGAGTACATGAAGCCCAGGCCCAGCAGCTGCAGTGTCCAGGTCAGCAGGTTGATGCTTCGTTCATTCTCCAGGGGCCCATACTTGTAGCACACTGCGAAACTCATGAATCCGACTGTGAGGACGTAGCCTAAGAAAGGGTCAGCAGAAGACATTCTTTTCAGCTAGTATATAGAAAGCAGTAGTGCACTAGATGGCATCTGCTGAACCAGGAGCTTAGACTAGATCTGTACTCTATTATCTACCTACCTCACATGCATGTATGTATCACTCCTATCCTTTCTGTCACAATTTATTTCGTTAAAATAACAAACGGGTTGAAGAGATGGCTCTTACAGAGAACCCAAGTGCAGGTCCCAGCACCCACATAGCAGCTCCAGGGCATCTGACTCTACAGGCACCAGCACTCAATTACACACCATACCTATAATTAAAAACTAAATCTTTTTTAAAAGCTACATGTTGAACATGTCTAAAATAGTTTATTTTAATTCCAAAAATAAGTCCATGTTAATGTCCTCAAATAATAGATCAAGTTACTAACAAGAAGAAAACAAAGTTTCTATCTGTGACCAAAGGATTTTTACTACTGTAGATCAGATTCACAGCAGTCTTATTCTCAAGGTCCCCAACCATATTTAAATTAACATTAATAAAGCCAATTTAAAGGATTTTAAATTTTGTTTAATGTAGAAATAAACACCAGCAAATTAAAGCTTTAATTTTTTTAAAGAATAATTCTTTTTATTTTGTGCACATTGGTGTCTTGCCTGTATGTTTGTCTGTGTGAGGGTGTTGGATACTGGAATTTCATTACAGACAGGTGAGAACTGCCATATGGGTGCCGGGAATTGAACCTGGGTACTCTGGAAGAGCAGTCAACACTCTTAACCGCTGAACCATCACCCCAGCCCCCTAAAGCTTTATTCTTATTAACAGCATCTAAATTTAAAAGATAATATTAAGGAGATGTAATATTATAAGTAGGAAATTATAATTTTTACAAGTTAGCACTCCTTGTTGGCAAGAAACTTCTCACAATCAAATTAACCAAATACCCTATAAAACGTACAAAGGAAAGCCAAGCCAACAATACTTACTTAGAAGATAATGCCAATAACACCTCCATATCTCTTGTAAATTCTTAAAAACTAGCTGAATGAGGTACAGAGAGAAGGACCAGCCTCCTACCAGGATGACGTAAATGGGACTTCTCTAGACAAAGTAGAAATGAAAGCAAAAGTCACAAGACTTTTATAAAAGAAGCAAATGGGACATTTTTTTCTTAAATTCAACCTACTCAAAATGCATAAAAACATTTCTCTTAAAAAGATATGCTTTATACCTAAAAAGGTACAGTCTGCAAGGAACACCAGGAAGATGAGATGCTAATGACTGGAAGGCCTAAGTGTGCAATTAGAAAACAAAAAGAGGATTTCAGTTCCCACTGAGCACATGATTTCAAATACAGAATCTGTAGGCTCGAGGTCTCACCATGCAAGTGCTTTTCAAAATCGAACAGGACAGACGCTGACTCATCAGGTCACTAATGCAAATGTTCAGTGCTCTAAGACTGCAAGACAATCCTCCAGCTATCCGAGCTTGTCCTAAACACTCAAGACAATCCTCCAGCTATCTGAGCTTGTCCTAAACACTCAAAACAATCCTCCAGCTATCCGAGCTTGTCCTAAACACTCAAGGAACTGGACCACTTACCTTGGGCATAAACTTGGAGAGCATAAAAATGATGATTAACAGAGAGGCCACAATCCCCACGCTCACTCCAGTGGAATAGTAGAAAATTTGACTCCTGCAGAGAAAGTATTTTCCTTGACTATGTAATACTATAAACCATTGATGAAATCAGAACAATGGACAAAGTAAAGTTTCAAGATAGGAATTGGAGAAGAAATCTGCCCACTATTTAAAGCTACAGAACTGTAGGCTGATGTAGCTGTTGATAGGTTATGAAGATCAGTATTAACAAGGTCCTCTCAAATCTCACTCCCATCTCCACCTCTCTCTAAATCCATATGTTATAGACAAGTGGCATAGAAAAATCAAGCTGGAATTGGGCTGGAAGCTTCCTTCCTGCTGGGTGGCCTTCACAATGCCAGAATAGGCCGTGGAGGGGACCAGGGGAGATTCCCACCAACAGTCTCACTCAGCTGTGGACCCCGGCGCAGCAATACCAACCTAGACAAGATGACCACAATGCAACACTGCACCAAAAATCTGTTGTAGGAGTAACCAGCCACTTTAGGACAGGATTTGATACCCATTCCACAGAAGGAAATTCATTTCTGGTACTGTAAATGCCATCAAAAAAATCCATGGCTGGGGAGTTTGTGGGCCCAAGCAGGAGAGCTACTGCTGTTGTTTTGCTAAAAGACTACAATATGCCCATCAAATCACGTTCTTTGATTTGAGAAGATTCTTTTTGTGGTGGTCAATGATGACTGCAGAAATTCATTAACTACTCAATGAACCAATAATAAATGACTTTTGAATGCCCAGCCATTAAGTGGAGCACCTGTACTATCCCCTCCCAAGGCTTAGGGAACATCATGGAACAAGGGGTTCAAAGAGTTCAAGAGCTGGAAGGAGGAGGAGGAGCGTTGAGACATAGATGTTGCACTTATTTTATACTTTAATTTTTTGAAACAGTTTATATAGCCCTGGCTGTCCTAGGACTCGCTCTGGAGACCTGGATGGCCTAGAACTCAGAGATCCCCAGCCTCTCAAGAACCACCATGCCCCACCAAGACCTTGTACAGCTAAAGGGCAGTGGGAGAGGGAGAGGCAGGGCGTTCAGGGGTGAGGTCACTGGTAAGGTGCCCATGCTGAACATCCAGGAAATCTGGGACATCATGAGAAGACCAAACCTAAGAATAATAGGAACAGAAGGAGTAGAATTCTAGCTCAAAGGCCCGGAAAATATTTTTAAAAAACCACAGAAGAGGGAGCTGGAGAGATGGCTCAGTGGTTAAGAGCATTGCTTGCTCTTCCAAAGGTCCTGAGTTCAATTCCCGGCAACCACATGGTGGCTCACAACCATCTGTAGTGAAGTCTGGTGCCCTCTTCTGGCCTGCATGCAGACAGAATATTGTATATATAATAAATAAATATAAAAAAAAACATAGAAGAAAAATTTCTAAACTAAAGGAGATGCCTATAAAGGTACAAGAAGCTTACAGAACACCAAACAGACTGGACTGGGAAAGAAAGTCCCTGAGCCACATAATAATCAAAACACTAGAATAAAGAACGAATATTAAAAGATGCAAGGGACCAAGTAAAATATAAAGGCACACTTATTAAAATTTTACCCAACTTCTCAACAGAGGCTCTAAAAGCCAGAAGGGTCTAGACAGATGTCCTACAGACTCTAAGAGAACATAGATTCCAGCTCAGACTATTAATACTCAGCAAAACTTTCAATTACCATAGATGGAGAAAACAAGATGTTCCATGATAAAGTCAAATTTAAACAATATCTATCTAAAAATTCAGGTCTACAGAGGTACTACAAGGAAAATTCCAACCCACAGAGGATAACTATACTCTAGAAAATAAAGGCAATAAATAATCTCATACCAACAAAACCCTAAGATACACAAAACCCTAACACACACACACATCAACAATATAATAACAGGAATTAGCAATCAGTCATTGATATCTCTCAATATCAATGGACTTAATTACCCAATAAAGACACAGACTAATGGAATAGGTGCAAAAACAGGATCCATGGCCAGGCGATGGTGGTGCACGCCTTTAATCCCAGCACTTGGGAGGCAGAGGCAAGCGGATCTCTGTGAGTTCGAGACCAGCCTGGTCTACAGAGCTAGTTCCAGGACAGGCTTTAAAGCCACAGAGAAACCCTGTCTCGAAAAACCAAAAAAAAAAAAAGGATCCATCCCTTCTGCTGCACACAAGAAACACACTTCAATATCAAAATATCAAAGACAGACATTACCTCAAATGATTGGAAAAAGATTTTCCAAGCAAATGGGACCTAAGAAGAAAGATGGTGTAGCCATTCTAATGTCTAATAAAAGAGATTTCAAACCAAAGTTAATCAAAAGAGAGGGGGAAGGACACTCCATACTCATCAAAGGAACAATCCACCAAGACGACATCTCAGTTCTCATCTATGCCCCAAACACAAGGGCACCAAGGTTTGTAAAGAAAACACTTCTCTAAAGCTTAAATCACACATCAACCCTCACATATTGATAGTGGGAGATTTTAATACCCCACTCTCACCAATGGACAGGTCATACAAACAAACAAACAAACAAAAAAAGAAACACTGGAGATAACAGAAATTGTGAACCAAATGGACCTAACAGATATCTACAGAACACTTCATCTGAACACAAAAGAATACACTTTCTTCTCAGCATCCTATGGAACATTCTCCAAAATCAACCACATACTTGGTCACAAAGCAAGTCTCAACATATATAAGAAAACTGAAATAACCCTGGCATCCTATCAGACCACCATCAAGTAAAGCTGGGTTTAAACAACAGAAAGCCTACAAACTCATGGAAACTGAATAACTCTTTACTGAATGATCACTGGGCCAAAGCAGAAAGAAATTAAAGACTTCCGAGAATTTGATGAAAAATGAACACACAGCATATCCAAACTTATGGGACACAATGAAAATGGTACTAAGAGTAAAGTTCAAAGCACTAGTGCTTTCAAAAAGAAACTAAAGAGATCTCATACTAGCAACTTAACAGCACACGTAAAAGCTCTAGAACAAAAAGAAGCAAACACACACAAGAGTAGAAGGCATGAAATAATCAAACTAAAGGTTGAAATCAAGAAAACAAAGAGAACAATACAAATAAATCAATGAAACAAAAAGTTGGTTCTTTGGGGGGGAAAAAGTCAACAACATGAACAAACCCTTATAAAAACTAACTAAAAGAGAGAATATCCAAATTAACAAAATCAGAAATAAAAAGGGAACATAACAGATACGGAAGAAATCCAAAGAATCATTAGGTTATACTTCAAAAACCTGTACTCTACAAAATTGGAAAATCTAAAAGAAATGGACATTTTTCTTGATACCAGTTACCAAAACTAAATCAAGACCAGATAAACAATTTTAAAAGACCCATAACCTTTTAGAAGACAGAACACATCATTCAAAGTCTCCCAACCAAAAGACCAGGGCCAGAGAGTTTTAGCACCGAATTCTGCCAGACTTTCAAAGAGTTAATACCAATAAATCAAATTATCTCACAAAACAGAAACAGAAGGAACACTGCTAAATTCATTTTATGAGGCCACAGTCACCCAAATACCAAAGCATACAAAGATTCAAGAAAGAGAATTAGAGATCAATTTCCCTCATGAACATTAATGCAAAAATACTCAAAAATACTTGCAAACCGAATTCAAGAACACATCAAAAAGATCACCATGCTCAAGTAGGCTTCATCCCAGAGATGGAGGGATAGTTCAATATATGAAAAATCTGTCAACATAATCCACCACACATAAAACTGAAAGAAAACCCACCGCCGTCTCAATAGACACTAAAAAAGCCTTTGACAAAATCCAACACACTTTCATAAAAACCTTGGAGAAATCAGGAATTCAAGAGACACACCTAAACATAATAAAGGCAATTTACAGCAAGCCTATAGCCAACATCAAATTAAATAAACTCAAAGCAATTCCAGTAAAACAAGAAACGAGACAAGGATATCTACTCTCTCCATATCTATTCAGTATAGTGCTTGAAGTTCTAGCTAGAGCAATAAGACAACAAAAAAGATCAATATAAATTGAAAAGTCAAAGCATCGCTATTTGTAGATGATATGACAGTATACTTAAGTGACCCCAAAAATTCTATCAGGAAGTCCTACAGCTGATAAACACCTTCAGAAAAGTGGCTGGATACAAGATTAACTCAAAAAAATCAGTAGCGTTCCTATATACAAATGACAAATGAGCCAAAAAAGAAATCAGGGAAATCACACCAATACCCACAAATAATATAAAGTACCTTGGGGTAACTCTAACCAAGCAAGTGAAAGACCTGTGTGATAAAAACTTCAAGTTTTCCGGGTATTGGTGTACACCTTTAATCCTAGCACTCAGGAGGCAGAGGCAGATGGATCTCTGTGAGTTCAAGGCCAGCCTGATCTACAGAGCAAGTTCCAGGACAGGCTCCAAAGCTACACAGAGAAACCCTGTCTCGAAAAACAAAAAACAAAAACAAAACTTCAAGTCTTTGAAGAAGATTTCAAAAGATAGAAACATCTCCCATGCTTATGGGTTTGTAGAATTAACATAGTAAAAAAAAAGCCATCTTATCAAAAGCAATCTACAGATTCAACAATCTCCATCAAAATCCCAACAAACTTCTTTATAACCTTCAAAGAACAATACTCATTTTCATATGGAAAAACAAAAAACCTATTGTATTCCTTTACAATAAAAGAACTTCTGGAGGTTATCACCATCCCTGATTTCGAGCTATATTTATAGGGCTATAGTAATAAAAACTGCACGGTATCGGCATAGAAACAGCAGACAGGTTGATTGATGCAATCAAATTAAAGACCCAGACATAAATACACACTCCTGTGAACACCTGATTTTTGATGAAGAAGCCAGAAATATACAATGGAAAAAAACCAACCATCTTCAACAAATGTTACTGGTCTAGCTGGATGTCAGCATGTAGAAGAATGCAAATAGATCCATATCTATCACCCTGTACAAAACTCAATTCCAAGCAGATTAAAGACCTCAACACAAAACCAGACACAAGGAATTTGACAGAAGAGCAAATGGGGATAGCCTTGAACATATGGGCACAGGATGTGTTCTGTCCAGAACACCAATAGCGCAGGCATTAAGATCAACAATCAATAAATGGAACTTCACTGGGTGGTGGTTGTGCATGCCTTTAATCCCAGTGCTTGGGAGGCAAAGGTAGGTGGGTCTCTACAGAGCTAGTTCCAGGATAACCAAGGGCTACACAGAGAGATACTGCCCGCCCCCAAATAAATGAGACTTCATGAAACTGAAAAGCTTCTGTAAGGCAAAAAATACCATCAAAAGGACAAAATGGCAGCCTACAGAATGGAAAAAGATTTTTGCCAACCCTACACCCAACAGAGGACTAATATCCAAAATATATAAAGAACTCAAGAAACTAGACATCCGGCGAACAATGAGGACTGATGAGAAGCCAAGGTCAATGACAAGGGGTTTTGATCCTACTTCATGTTCTGGCTTGGTAGGAGCCTAGCCAGTTTGGACGTTCACCTTCCTAGACATGGACATAGGGGGGAGGACCTTGGACTTTCCACAGGGCAGGGAACCATGACTGCTCTTTGGATAGGAGAGGGGGGGGTGAAAGGAGTGGGGGGAGGGGGAGAAGAG